ATAACTTGCGTGGATTAACGTTTCTCGATGTTTGCTGTTGCATTTGATAGCCAATTGGCGTTGACGGCTACTCTGTAGCTTTTTACTCCAATGTTAAAATCCATAAGCAAACGTCAGACTGTGCGTGAAACATGGCGGACTTCGTACTATCCTTTCACTTGACGGAAAATTCCTATAAGAAACTGTCAATTATTGCAGTGCCGTCAATGCCAATACAACCTGTTACAGCACTACCATAGAGGTAACTCTAAGACAAGTAGGTCCCGATGAAACGGGCTCAACTTTTTGGTTCAGCTCTGGTACTATATTCGGTCCCAAGCTAATCGATTCCCCCCTCGAAACATAGGAAAATCCACTAACCCCTTATTTTATCTGTCAAACTTTCATAGCGAATAAAAACAAACATTGTGTAGTACTAGAATTTTGACTAGAATGGGGTACGTTAATCGATTTGCTTGGGACCAATAGGCTAGTCAAGTAGTGAGCCAATTTCAATTCGTTAGTTTCCACCGGTTGATAGTACTGCCAACATTGCAAAGAATCCACACCTAGCAAAGACAGACCCCCTTCACTCTTTGGAATTTATAGAGACAGATGACAGCGCCAAGCGGTTTGTGACGAGACAACGTTGATCTGATTGAACTCCAGCGTCGGAAGAAAACACGCACACCAATATCTATGCATGCACGAAGCCACACCACTGTACAGTGGTTTGAATGCTCAATATCACGAGCTTTTTTATTTGCTTCTTCAATATCGATTTTATCACCATCACCATGTTGTCTGTATAAAATAAGGCGCAAAGAATAGCGATAAGTTTTAACTCGGAACTCCACCATACACACTTAAATTTTTTCGCCGAGATTCCAACAGCCCAGTAATTCTGCAATTGATTTTGCTGAGATTCAGTCAAATAATTGCCGAGACTCAGCTAACAAATATCATTTTGCTGAAATATCAGCTAACAAACAGATATTTTGCAGAGATATCAGCATAAGTGAATGCCGAAGTAATCGGCTGTTAGAGATTTTACCGAGCTAGATTAAGTGTGTAGGTGACGCTGCAAAATCTAACTTTTTAGATTTACAAGATAGATGTGGTGTCCTCAGCAAAGTTGTAGATAACTTTAATACAAAAATCTTTACTTAACATACCATATGACTGTTTTATATGACTGTTCCAAAAAAATTATAATAGTTTTTTTTTTTCAGTTTTTATCACATATTTCGAAAACTATAGGTTTTAGAAGACTTTAATGTTCTACAAATATTTGTATATTTGTATTTGGTCAGTGGATATTTTGGGTCGCTATTGAACATTTAGTCGATTGCTGAATTTATGTGTGGGCCCAAATTAGGTGCATTTAGACCGACATTACATCCATTTCCCCTATTAGCAAAATACTAAATATCTAGATAGAGCTTGAATTAGGGTGTAACAGCTTTTGTAAACAATGACTTCTGTCGAAGATTTCTAGAAATTCAAGGCAAGTCCACGCAAACCAACGGAACCATCGAGTAGCGGAAGTCTTACCCTTTCCGATGGTGATGTTTATTTGCGTGGGCGAGCCATGACTTTTTAGAAATCATCGCGAAAAGTCATTGTCTACACAAGCTGTTACGCCCTAATTCCAGCTCTATCTAGATATATCCTATTAACAATATGATCCATCCCCACAAAATATTGCTTCACGCACCATCTAGCGTTGTGAAAGGTCAGCAACAATCATTCAATTACAATCGAGGGGTGCGAATATAGCACTTATTACAAAAGTAAGAGTTAAATTAGTTTCATTAATTACAGTGTGTCTATTACTTTAAAATTTGTCTGACATGTCACTGTTGTCATCAAATAAAATAATATGCTGAAATACATTAATTTGAAATATTAAACAAATTTTCATTTGATTTACCCCTCGTGACGATAAACAAGTACATTGGTAGCCTTTTTGGCCACAGAGGTGCTTTCATCGCTAAAAATTCGGTTCGCCAGCTGAGCGAAAGAGTGGGTCATATTGTTGTTGTTATAATATATTTGAAAATACGAAACTTTGTTCAAGACGTCCAAATGATATCGATTACATAGGCTGAGTTATTGATAAATTTAGAATAAAAAATTACATATTTTGAGCCCTCACAGACAAAACTCCGGCGAAATCCGGCAGGTGAGTCTTAAATATGATAAAAGCTTGTTCAAAAGTGATCTCAAATTCCATTGAAACATTTGTCCCTCTTAGTATCCACGTTAATTATTTTGCATTTCAAAAAGTTCGTTCCGCAGCTCAGTGACAGCGCGCATTTGTCAAAGGCTGAATCAAAGTAGGCTCAGTGATAATATATAACAAAATTTGGTCACCTATTGATCGTTTTGGCTGTATTAAAACGCATATTACATAGAAAATAATCATTTCATAGTAAAATTAAAGTTATTTTTATAACATTTCCGTATCAGATCCGAAAAGTAGGAAAAGTATGTAGGTGCAACCATGTAGTTAATAAGGTGTTTCGTGTTAATTTCCAATCTATGATATAAATGAGTTATCTATGGAAGTTATTTGTTTGTGAAATATCAAAAATAGTTTAAATTATAAGCTATCGTATAAAATTGCAGTTTAGATTTATAGGCGAAAGCTTTTTAAACTCAGGAGGTTTGGATTGTAACGGCAGTGATGATGATTTTTGTATGAGGTCTCAAAATATGTAATTTTGTATACTAAATTTGTCAATAACTCAGCCTGTGTAATTGATCCCATTTAGACGTTTCCTACAAAGTTGCGTATTTTGATGATATAAAAATATTTGTAGAACATTATAGTCTTCTTAAACCTATAGTTTTTTTTTTTAAATATGTGATAAAAACTGAAAAAAAAACTAAATTTTGTGGAACAGTCATATAAAAACAAAAACTCTTCTGAAGACACCATGGTGAAAAAATCGATATTGAAGAAGCAAATAAAAAACTTCGTGATATTGAGCATTCAAACCACTGTGCACTGAGCAGACGGCACAGTACAGCGCAAATCAAAACACAAAGCGATATCATCACTCATCGTCATCATTCAGTTTCGGCAGCTTCCGACTGCGTTTGCACTTGCTGACGTTGACAAATACCTTCCTATGATATAAAATAGAAAAGTAGGTAATCATTATTCCATCGTAATTTTTGAATAGAATACGTGCTGCGTTGGCTAAGGAAGACGGCATATTTTATTAAGTTTGTTTAGCAATGATTTCGATTTATTGCATTTCCAGTAGCTGGGGTGTTGGAATAATTCTTTATTGAGGGGGAACGTTATTTCCATGTTTACTTCTATGATTATTTTGAGCAACAGCTTCGCAAATCATCAATTACAAACAGAGATTTGCATCTTACTGATACCTGTGGTGACATTGGAAACTCTTTCACTTAAAAGCAAAACATATTACAAGCCCATCATGATGCGAGCTTGGATTTGTGCTTGTTTTCTCATAGCAAATGTGCATATTTAGTGCGCTTGTTTTCTCAATACCAGGTGAAACCTGCCAGAAACTTCTGAATGAAACTTTCAATATGTCTTCAGCATTGGAGATTATGATTTTTCCACAGATCACGAGACCATTTTGACTCAAATCTAATTTTTGTGAAGGGCGTATGTATGACCAAAGGCTAGAGTGGAAAGCGTTCGAGAATCGAGCCACGTTTCGCACAGGACAATTCTAGATAGAGCTGGAATTAGGGCCTAACAGCTTTTGTAAACAATGACTTCTATTGATGATTTCTAAAAATTAAAGGCTCGCCCACGCAAACCAACATCCTCATCAGGTAGGGAAAGACTTCCCCTATCCGATGGTTATGTTGATCTGCGTGGGCGTGCGTTGAGTTCCTAGAAATCATCTATAGAAGTCATTGTTTACAAAAGCTGTTACGCCCTAATTCCAGCTCTATCTAGAATTACATCGTAGCAACGATGCGATACAGCTAGGCAGTACTCTTCAACATCAGAATTCATTCCACCGGCGTTTTGGTAAAAGATCACGATGTCCTGCTAACGCAAGGAATCGAACGGCTGTTCTCCTGGAAATCAGTATGCTCCCACAACAAAGAGATTGTATGCTATATTCTATTCAACCACTCGCCAAAGAAGTGACATGCCCCAGACCATTAATTTTAGATGTCTTGGATAGAGTCGGTGTATAATGAGTCACGCCAAGAGTGAAGCCAAGTCTACCTATTGAACTGTCAAAGCGGCTACCTATCGTGCAAAGTAAATAAACATTACGATGCTATGAAAGGTTCACGAAAGGTATTGCAATAAAATATAAAATATAATCGAAGAAATGAGCATAAACACGCAGTGAGCGTTAAATTGTCATGGGATACGCTCGGTAATGATTAGTAATGAGAATTTCTACTATTTTTTGTTAAGATAATTTGACAAAATCACTGATATAATGATTTACTACAGCCGCAGTATTTTTTCTCTCGCTAGAAGTCATTTGAAGTTGTTGTAGAAGTCCTCTGTTGCCAAGTAAAAAGAATTGGAATCTTTCGAAAACCGTGATGCGAGTTCAACTGTTTTTCTCTTGGCGTGACTCATTATACACCGACTCTAGTCTTGGACATCACCAAGATAGAATAAACAGTTACTTAAATATGCTTACCAAAATGGTGTAAAAAAAATACACCGGAAGGTGTGCTTTTCGGATTTTATCTTTATTATTTATTTGCACCAATTGCACAGCAGAGTTGTCCCATTAAATAATTGGATTGCCCACTAGTTTTGTATTTATATAAACCCTGAATTCGTAGAAATACAAAAGGGACGTTTTATACCTTCCTACCCTATATAGCCCTCTTAGACCACAAATCGTGAAAAATTTTCAACTTCTATGAATTCCCAATGCGAAACTGACGATACTTACCTGATCAGTAGTGTAGCTAAGCTTAAGGTTCTGCCACCACTAAGTACTTCAATTGGAATGAGCTTTTTAATTGTGAGCGGATTATTAAGAAAACATCAGTTTCTAGTTTGATTCACGAGATCCTTCTACCAGAAGAATGACGTTACACTGATAGCGTATCTTTTTTATTTTTCTGCTTGTTTGATAGTGAGACATATTTAATATAAACAAGTAGCCTTTTCCTCAACGGGTATACATCTTGTAGCGTACAACTAAGAAGTGGGTGATAATTACATCGCCTGTATAATTATAAAAATAAATAAAAACATATAATTTACTTTTCTTCAATCAAAAACTAAAACATCGCTAGAGTTATGACTCTATAACAGAATGTAAATCGTTTGCACGCCTCCTTTCTTACAACCTATCTGGGACTTTTTCGCATTCGTACGTTGATTTGTATTCACTATACAGTTCCTCTCTACTTACACACACACCTGCCTAGTGATAACTAAATATCCAATATTATTACTTTTTCCTACTTATTACAAAAAAAAAATAATCCATCGAATTGGATAGTATTGACTGCGAATTTCTCCAGACTGAATGCAATTCGCTTTGACAGCGCCTGGCATCGAAGGAAAATCAGTTCGCTCTCTAATAACGACGAAAAAGTTAAAACGAATTGCTTACAACTTTATTCCTTTCCCATCGATTTTTCTTACAGATTAAGTTTCCTTCTACCCTCTTTTCGACCGTAGGGAGAATCGTTTCAAGTCTATTCAGTTCTTTTCACTTTGCGCTTCTACTAAGTTACAACAATTTTTCCTCATCCTGCGAGAATTGTTTTCTAAGGATTCGCTGTCCTTATTTTTTTTATCTTAATTTTACAGTAATGCTTATAGTGAGTGAGTTTTCTTCTCTTGCTTTAAGTTATAAGTTAAAAAATACAAATAGTAGTAACTTTAGTTTTCGATATCTCAATTTATGATGTTGAGTGGGAATAGCGTTTTACTTTGCTGAAGAACAATGAAATATGGGACAATGGTTAGGGAGGGTAGTTGTGAAATTACTTCGATCGAAATCGAGGTTTTGGATCACTTCTGTAGATAGGAAGTTAGAGCAATGATTTACGTAGATTTCAATTTCATGTGGATCTGGCTAATGCTAAGCTTCTTTTTGGTTATACAATTACGATTTTGTTCTTCTCATGTCTTGGATAGAATTGCAATTCTACGGCTTTGTGCTGAATGTAGCAGATACTACAGAATTTTTGGTTGAAAATAGGGATCGTAGATCCCGTTCTACGTTTGGACACTAAATTATGAAACGTAGCCATTATTTTTATGGAATCTTTTATTTCAACAGCTATTTGAAGGGATTTGGTTATGATTAAAAACGGAGCTTCAATACTGCTAGATGCTACTGACTAAAAGGTATCACCGCTATACCAGGGATGAATCCAGGGTGCTGAGGGTGGGGGGGTTGGCGGGTAAATGGTGGGTGACGGCAGAGCACAAGAACGGGCAGCCGAAACGGCAGTGCTGTCATACGATCCGACCTGCATTGGACCAGTTGCATACGATCCGGGAGCAAAATGTGGTGAAAAAATAGCCGCACTACTGGCAGCAGTTAATTGTTGGGCGGCCAGTGCGGCCTGTTGAGCAGCTGCGGCAGCTACAGCGGCTTGTTGAGCCTGTTGTTGCTGTTGCTGTTGTTGTTGTTGTTGCTGCTGCTGCTGCTGCTGCTGCTGCTGCTGCTGCTGCTGCTGCTGCTGCTGCTGCTGCTGCTGCTGCTGTTGCTGCTGTTGCTGTTGCTGTTGCTGTTGCTGATGCTGCTGTTGCTGCTGTTGTTGTTGCTGCTGCTGCTGTTGTTGGTGCTGTTGCTGTTGCTGAGCAGCGGCAGCTGCTGCGGCTGCGGCAAGGGCTGATTCTTGGAACGAATAAGCTGAAGATGATGCTTGGGCCAGCATTCGACTAGATGCGTCCTGATAGAAATCAGCCTTTTCTTGCTGGTATCGGCAAGAAGAGAGAGCTTTCTTGTCGAAATGTAGAGGGTTTGTTGGTGAGGAAAATCCACTACTACTGCTGCTACTACTGACAATAGCCGCTGAACCACTAGAACCAGATGTTGTAGAAGAGGAAGATTTTTTACCGCTCGCCGAAGGTGATGTAGGTGTAAGGCTCCAGGAAGCGCTGACACCGCCGCTGCTTGAATGGATATTGCTGTTGGTGATGTTGCTACTGCTCGTTATCAGATCGGATACTACTGTGCTCTGAGGGCACTGCTGCTGTACCCCCCACCCCAATTCCTAGCTGATACGTGCCCGCTTGTTCGCCGGCGTCTCTTGGCCTATTTGGCCTCGCACCATGTACTGCAGCTGGGGCATGAACTGCATCACGTCCACTACTTGCACCAGAGGCATTTTGTCTACATTGGCACGGCCAGCTTCCAGAAGAGCTTGGTATTGTAGGCTGGAAAAAAAATAGAAGGAAAACGTACGTTAGATCACAATTTTAAAATGTTTTTAATTAAAGGATCCATTAACTAGGGAGTTATACAAGTCACAAAGATGACAATGTTCGTGACGATTAAAGCATGTTACATGGGCTCAATTTGAAAAATACATTAGCAATACCAACCGGTGGAAACTAACGATTTTAAATTGACTCACTACTTGACTAGCCTATTGGTCCCAAGCAAATCGATTAATGTAACCCATTCTAGTCGAAATTCTAGTACTACTCTATGTTTGTTTTGATTCGCTATGAAAGTTTGAAGATAAAAAAAAGGGGTTCGTGGATTTTCCTATGTTTCGAGGGGTGCATCGATTAGCTTGGGACCGAAGAGAGTACCAGAGCTGAGCCAAAAAGTTGAGCACGTTACAGAGTTACATCTTTGCTTGATTTCCTATTCTAATGGGAATGTTTTGCGTTTATGGGTACATCAGACAAATAACGTGTAACTAACTCGCACGAAAGATTTTTGCTATCCCTAAACCTCTTAATGGTAGTTCTGATTTTATAAAAAAATTATCTTTCATTAAGTTGTCCTTAAGGAAAATTGAGGCATAATGCCCATGGCAGGCAAAATGCGCCCACTTATATTTCAGCTGCAACTTAGTATGATGTAAAAATGTGCTGTTAAATGAAAGTCATTTGAAATTTATAAAATTAAAAACAATTTGGACAGAAAACTATACAAGAAAAGTTTGTTTCTTGAAACAGCTGGTAGCTCTGAATACTACCCAAATTAACGATTGGATTGATGCAAGTTGATGGGTACATCCCTCGTCTTTCGGTTCGATAGCTCGACTGGCATGTTTATTAGAAAAATAGTACAGTCATACCTCGATATAACGTAACTCATTTTTTTATTTTCGTTACGTTGTATCGAAGTTACGTTATATCTAAGCTACGTTATATCGAAGCATAATTTTTTTCTTGAATTGTTTTTTTTTTTTTTTTTCTATAAAAGAATGAACCTAAAATCAATGTTATTCACCTAACAGGGTGTTTTAGCCCTTCTTACCTCTTTTTTTAATTCCTTGTATTTTTTGTTGTTGCTATTTTCAGTTATTATTTGTTTAATTATTCTTTCAATTTTATTTAAAGTTTGATATGTATTTTCTTTTTTTTTTCTTTGGAATATTTTTTTAACAGTATAATTTTTAATGATTATTAAAAATAACCAACAATTTATTTCATTTTTTTCCAAATAACAATTCAAGCCCAAGAATTGAAATGGCCTCAACTCCATTTTATAAACACACCTTCTAAGGCCCTTTTCTCGGGAACCGAAACCTACATTCGTAATCCTAAACCACAATCGGGCAGAGGGGAATTTCCCCTACCTACATTATGTTGTTTTACCTTGGCGGACTTCGGTTCGCGATAAAATGACCTTACAATGTTTGTTTACAAAATGGAGTTGAGGCCTTTTCAAATTGTTGGTCTTGCATTCTTTATTCATAAAAGTAGAACTCAAATGTATAGCAATTCATAAACCAGTACGAAATAGCAAAAAAACATTCCTGCACTGAAGCCTTCTTAGTGCTGGTTTGTCAATTACGATGTCCATGACATTAGTACGCATCTGACACAGCGAGAACTGTGTAGCCAGTGGCCAATTGTTCTCTTCCGCGTATCTGTTTACCAGATCGAACCAATTTAAAGCTGCTTCATCCGAAACGTTTACATATTCGTCATCATTTCCAATCAACATCAACGGTAATTTGAGCGACCCATCCATGTTGCTGCAAGGCATGAACGTGCGCCGATCTTTGTTGATTTTGAATCCCGGAGCTGATTTGGCGTCTCTCTCAACATATGTTCTTGTTGGGGTTCTCTTGAAAAATAGCCCACTTTCGTCAGCATTGAAGATCTGACAAGGAGACAAATCTTCCTTCAGGATCTGCGGAGCAAAGTCTTTCTTGTATTGTTCGACAACAGAAATATTGCTGGACAATTTTTCGCCACTGATTGTCAATAATCGAATGCCGTTGCGTTTTATGAGTTTCTCCACATAACCACGGCTTTCGAATTCCCTTATTCCTACCATCTGGTTTAAGATACTTTTTTGCTTCGACGTGTAGCAGTTCTTGGCTTACCGGTATTTGCCTGTAGTTCAAAGGAGTTGCTTGGAGACCACAGAACTAAACCATGAAACTCTCTTAGAGTTCATAGAAATCTCCGGTTATAAAACACCTTGGAATTCATAAATTTCCTCTGAATTTCATAGAACTATCCAGAAGAACCGCCAAATCAACTCTCCTAGGGTTTGTTTCCCCCATTGACCAGTCACGTGGATTTCCCATGACACACTGAAAATCGAATCGATGACATCTGCACCAGCCGAAAATGGAGACGGAGCCTTCTTGATGTTAGGAACAAACGCAGCGCCAACATCGCGTCTAACCACACTCTTGTCATCGGAGAGATTCGCCTACAGTTGCTCTGATCCAGCGGCGGTAGGAGAGGCTCGGACGACGATTCAACACATGCCGACTGGAAGATCCAGCAGTTAAAAGGTCGTTCGTCGAGGAGCTGGAGACCCGAGCTGCGGATATTCCTGAAGGTGGCAGAGCAGAAGAGAAATGGATGGCGATTAAGAACGCCTTTACTACAACCAGCGAGAACAATCTGGGTGTCCTGCGCACCCAGAGGAAGGAGTGGATCACGGACGACACCAGGCGGAATCCCCCTCCCCCAGTTAGCATGTTTTCTTACACTATACATGGCCGGTCTCAAAATCTTTGATTCTTCCCTCCTCCCCACGTCTGTTGTGGGCGGTCCTATAGTGCTTTAAACTTTAAAAAATATTTTCATAGTCAATAAATCACGTTTATAATGTAAACTGCCAAACAATAGGGACAAAAAAAGTTAGGTTACATCGAGGTTACATTATATAGAGGATGTGTTATATCGAGGAATGACTGTAGTAATTTTGAACATTGTTACTCTTTGTTACTGTTTGTTACTCTAAGTGGAGTATAATGTGCCCCACGAATTGTAGTGTGGAAAGCATAACAATCAGGCATGAACCACTGAATATCGATGGAGAAAGAACACAGATAAAGCCTAAATGTATGCTTCTTTGACATGAAATTCAAATATAGGGTTATGTTTGCCTTGTTGATTTTACCAATTTATACATGAAGTTCTCGATTTTAAGTAAGTATATGAATTGTAATATCTGGCCAATAGCGTAATCAACATTACACTTCGCAATTTCACAAGTCAAAATATTAAGGCTTTTGAGAATGCACGTAGCTGAAACTACTATGGTAGATGTACCAGTTATGGCCATACGTTTCTATTGTGGTATGTTCAAATTATGACCAATGGGAATTCCATAGGATATAATTGGAACACACAATAATAGAAACGTATGGCCATAACTGGTACACCCACCCTACTTGTTGTATGCTGTTGGTGTAGCATGGGCAATGTTGCCAGTCCGGCAATAGCAAAGTGAAGAAGTGCGACGCGGCGCGGTAACCATAGTACGGTGATAAAGGAAATGCTTCACCAAACCCGAGCGTCTGTTCACCATGGAGGTGCGGCTCAAAACGGCATCTGTTCTTCATGTTAGAAGCGGCTCATCACCGTCCTAGTGCCAGCGTGGGACTCTAAACAAAGCTGTACACGATGGTCCCCAGGCGAGATAGGGGGTTGGGACAGGCCCAACAAGCCGCCCTGGAAAAAACATAAAGTTGCAAATACCGAAGAAAGAAATACGGATCAAAACAATCGACACAGACCTACGCAACGAAATAAGGATTCCGAATGGAAAATCGGAACATGGAACTGCAAATCGTTCGGCTTCCCGGGCTGCGATAGGTTAATCTATGACGAACTTCAACAGAAGGACCCTTCGCAGACTACGAGGCTGGCGAAGTGTGGCCATGGATCGAGTAGAGTGGAGACGACTTCTTCGGACAGCAGAGGACAACAAGGCCTTAGCCTGTTTGGTAAGGTAAGTAAGATACGCGTATTTCGTCTACAATGTGCAGACTTCTTCAGTGTCTGAACATTGTAGACATGTAGTGCAAAATAGCCTGTTTTGCTTTGAGCGTGTAGTGATTGTTTGAGATTGTCCAGTGTATAGGGATAAAATGTACTTTTCTGTTTTGTATTTTATTGTGCTACTAAATATTGACAGAAACCTTGGGTAATGGTATCTTTCAATACGGATTTGAGTATATTCAATTACTGAATTTTAAAAACGATGTCCCATAGAATAAGATAGCTTGATACGACAGTTTTTCACAAATTACTTTAAGCAAGATTTCAATACCGCCTTGTTCAACTGTAAGAAAAGCATCATCGAACTGCTTGACTCCCAATGACGGTTCGTGAAAGCTTGATTCTGGCTCCTTTTGACGTCCATATTTTCGAGTCTGCTGTTCCACAGTTTAACATGAATAGGTTAAGATGGGACATGATGGGTCAGAACGCAAGATAGATCAGTTACTTTATGCATTTATTGGTCAGTATCAACATGCTCAATGTTACCCCAATGACGGATCATGGGGTAAGTTAGGTCAGTTACTTTATTTACCTTTATTTACCTTTCTAACCCCGTGACCCATCTTACCCCAGCTATCTCTATAAAGGTCCTGTTCATTAACCATTCAAACACTTTAGGTGGGTTGATGAATGTCTACCGTTCCACATGAATTTAAAAAAAAAATGAACGATTGTCTACGCCATAGGAGGGAGGATTGAGAACCTCTCAAATACGTAGATTATGAACAGCCCAAAGTCCTTTCGCAGTTTTACAAAAAAAGAGTAAAACGCTAATAGGCCCTTCTCTATTGTTGGTTGAGATAAGGGAACTGTTGGCTTCGGCAATACATTATCCTATTATCGTCAGGGGGTAAACAAAGTCCTAGAGCACTCAAATTTGGCCAATAGTTGCTCTGAAACACAATGTATCCACATGCCAAAATTGAGCTCTCAAGGACATTGTTTACCCCCCTGACGATAATAGGTTAAGGTATTGCTGAAGCCAACTTTTTCCCTATCTAATGAGTAACGAATCCCTTCGATTTCATAAGAAATTAATTTTCGACACTTGCTTCCAGGTTCATAAAACTACGAATTCATGCGCCCAATTTCATGAGTGCAGGAATAATTAACCTGGATAATAAAAAAAGAACAAGGTAGAGGAATCAATGCGGGAACCTTATTTCTGAATGATTCACCTCAAAATTGTAAAAGCACTAATATCACCGACAAACCAACAAAAATGATAATAGGAGTTACCATGAAATGTCTACTCAAAACACACTGCTGCCATCTGTCCCATGTTCGTAGAAAACATTTCTCGCGTCACATTTCAAATAGACCAATGTAACAAATGTAAACAAACCGAGTTAAGCGATACAAACTATTGCTCTTCTGTCATTGTATGGGATACAAAAACATCCATCCAAATTTACTTTCATTTATTTAAGATAATCATTGATCAAAAATTGTCCAATGTACAGTTTGAAATGATAGATACATGATTGTTACTTCGGTCATTCGGACTGCCTAACATGATTGGTGCTCATTTTCCAAAGGCGGGGCCAATCTAAAGTTAGGTACTATACTATGAAATCTGTGAAAGGGAATCTAGTATCGTGAAGACAAAACGTCCAATGTAACACTCATTGATTATGTCATTGAGAAAAATTGTCCAATGTAACATGTCCGATGTACAACACGACTTGTCAAAACGTCCTATGTGGTTTTTCTATGTTGTAGCATGACATTCAAAGTAAAATTGTGATTTTACCGTTTCTTCTGAATTTTCCACGTTATTATGCACTGGCTACATTAAAAATAGTATTGCAAAATGTATTGTTTTGAAACAGTTAAATTAATTATCTGTCGAACTTCAACTTCGATTTTCTCAAAATGGTGGATATGTTACATTGGTCTATTTGAAAAGTGACGCGAGATTTAGTCATACCATGAACACGTTTGTCTGATTTATTCAAGATAAATTATTTTTATTTAGATAAAAAAAAATCCTACGGTTTCGACAGATCGGATCGCTGCACATTTGAATCGGCCGTTATAGATTTTTGAGCAAAGGTTTAGGTATTTAGGTTTCATGTGGGCTTGTCGGTGCTAATATCAGCTCCCACAAAACACACAACAATGAAATTGGAACTCAACAATTTCATGAGCGATGTCGCAATAGTTTCCAAGTGATAGGGCATATCAACCATCATGACGCCATCTTTGGGCTTCTTCAGGAACGCATGACAATTTCTGTCGTCCTTGAATACTGAACCTCCTCTTTGAATATTTGAAACTCCAAAAATGCTTTCAGTTTCAGTTGCCAGAATAACCGAACTAGATTAACTAAGAATTAAAGTTTAACTATCCCTGAAAAGTGCACAAAGATGCCCACCATGATGTTTATGCTAGAATATTGAGAAAAAATAATAGTGGCAAACTCACCTATTTCCGATGAACAGATTGATGTCTAACGCATTGAGCACCCTCCGACACACATCCAGACTGATGTATGGGAAAAACACGTCCTTCAGATCCTGAATGGTCATCAGATAGTCATTGTTTCTATAGGGTGTCTTGTTGATGCAGTAGATCGTTTTGTTTTCGATCGGTTTCTTAACCACCTCGTACGGTTTGTACGGGGTGCCACCCATGGTCATTTCCGGTAGCATGATCACATTGCCATGTCGCGTTCCGCCGTCGTTCATGGCGGCAGCTTGTTGCTGGGCGGCCACCACGGCAGCCTGTTGTTGCTGCTGCAGCTGTTGTTGCATTGCAGCCGCCGTCGAGCGATAGTTACTGGTCGAGGTGATTGTCGTGTTGGAACGACCGTTGGTCATAGCGGCAGCAGCATTGGAACGTTTCTGCTGCTGTTGCTGTTGCTGTTGCTGGGACAGTGCCACTGCAGCCGCCGCTCCTGCCATGTTTGACCTTGGAGGGGAAGATAGATCGATTACATCCATTGCTGCTCGTGAAGTAATTACGCTCTTATATCTGGTATTGTCTACATTAGATTTATTCGCTACAGGATTGGACAGAAAGGTAGAAGAAGAAGGGGATTGGAAGGAAGCAGGATTTGGAACAATGGCACCATACGCTGCTGCAACTGCTGCCATACTAGTGGCATTGTTGAGGAACAACTTTTCACGAAAAAGCTCAACTTGACTTAGTAGCAGATTGTTGCTATTGTTTCTGTGGTTGTTGTGGTTGTTGTTGTTACTTGCGGCCGAACCAACCGGAATCAACGCCGGTGGTGGCTGCTTTGCCTGGGCACCTTTCGGTGAGGCTCGTGTAGGTGACGCTACCGGAACGGCCGTTATCGAGACCGGATTCTTAGGGTAGGCCGGTGTTTTTGCACCGCTACTAGTGCTGTTAGAACTGTTATTAGCTGGTGTGATGGTGATGTTGCTATTCGTAGCCGTGAGTTGGTTAATTTGCAACTGATTCAGGTGCGACAGATTGACGGTGCCATTGGGGCTGCGGGAGGTGGCGAATATGGACAGTTCAGGATTGAGGTAAGAGATCGCATTGGTACTACTGTTGTTGGAGCGTACTGACGATGAACCACTTGACCTAGAAACATTACAATGCGTTTATCGGTTTTAGCAAGTGTTTGTTTCTTATGCAATATTTAGAGGAAAAAGTCGTTAATTCTATGGTATTAACTTAGCTCTCTTAATCACAGTAATATTGCTTGCTTGCTATTTCTTAAGATTAAACATTAGACGCGGACACGGAGTGTTGTTATGATTGGATGGTTATCTTTCTCTCCCGCGCGGCGATCGGTGTAGGAAGGTGGAGCTAAAGGATGGTAATGGAAAAGGATGAACCAGAGAGGCAGCAGTTATTTTAGTTAAAAAGTAGAGCCGGTTTTCCGAGCGACGTAAGATGAGTGGTTTGAAAAACGCATAATGAATCTAGGGAGCGTACTTCGCTTTCGTTTATCCGTACTCCAATGTGTGGTTACTAGTGCCAATTTTCTCATTTTTTTGCAACAGAAGTCATCGGTTAATACTTTGTTAGGTATGTTCGGGAGTGTTAGTGTGCTACAGGAATAGAAGCCAAATGGTACATAGCCAAGACCAAAGAAAACTAAATAATAAAAATGGATTCTACATTGATCAAGCGAAAGAAACAGGTAACATAGAAAAAGAAGACTACAATTACAGCTGGAAAAAGCAGGCCTCAGTAAACAATCTTGCAATAAGGTGCTTCTCGTTTTAACAGTTTATCGATGCCTCATCACGATAGGATTCCAAGCATAATTGACCTCGGGGAATATACACTCCCACTTCTAAGAATAGACAACAAGTCCCAGAAAATCCATGTCATGATAGAGGATGACTCAATTAGCTACTTGAACAAATCGAGAAACAGGCGTTTCCATAATGATTAATGCATACGTAGAATTCTCGAGCAACAATTACTTATATGATTTGAGTAGTAGCTATACTGAAGATCCGAGAGATGTCGCCCCTTCAGTGGTAGGAAAATCATGTTTGCAGTATGGAGAATATCAGAAAATCCACGATTTGTGACTAAACATGCTTTCACAGAAGGAAACAAATAAACGAGTGTTTACCTTATCACCATAGTAATGCCCATTAAGACGATAATGAATAAAAACTGAAAATTTTCATGCATTTCTAAATGGCTTCCTACCATTCCCATACATTCGAAGTGACTGGCCCTCTGGATGTGGATGATGTCAAAAACAACAAAACATGATTAATTGAAAAAGGCCTATCAGCTATAGTATTGTAAGCAAAACTTTGTTATACTTTCGTCGCAAACCGAATGCCACACTCGCAAGTCAATCGTGTAGGAGAAAGTTTCTGCATACGACCTTCGGTTTGCTAGGAAAGGTCTTACAAAGCTTTATTCACAAAACCGGATAGGCCCTTTTGAATTGTTGGTCGAGAATTATCCCAAAGGATTTGTTTAGTTCAGTCCCTCTCAGAAGGTGCGATTAAAAAAAAAGATGTTTTTCCGAGAAGTAGAATTTATTTCTCTTAAATCCTCCCAAGCTAAAATTCTGACGAGATGCCGAAAAAAGAGTGTCCAAGCTACTCACTCAAACAGGGGATTATTTTTAATTGCTCAATAATAACATACGAATTGGTGCTTATGAAAGTACCCGCATACCCACTTGCATTATGTGCAAGTCCACCGACCACGTGTGTAAACAACACTAACTTCGAGAGAATCGTTTCAAATTTTCCGTACAAATTCCATCGTATGCCTTCCCTCGTGTAGCTTAACCTTCAGGTGACCTCTTATGCAGTTCAGCAGGCTGACGTCATTGAAGGTTAAGCGGCTGGCTGTTTATAGCGCACACACACACACATTCTTATATACCTATGTAGGAAAGTAATACACACGAAGGCAGACGTGCCACCATCAGATAGAAGCAAAAGTTGAAATGTAACGCGTATTCAAGGGGAAATCACCTGCTAATCAGTTGCTGATTGCTGGCGAAGCGAGAACCCGGCTTATGTGCGGTAAGCGATGTTTGCTGGTTGATGTAGCAAAACCCTTTACGTCTACACGGACGGGCAGACGAGACTCATGATCGGCGGGGTATGTGCTGATTTTAGAACATACACAGGGTTACGGCACCTATTTTGAACCTGTTGCTGTAACCTAGGATTTAAGAAAGTTCCATCGAATTTTCTTCCAAAAAGCATTGAATCTTGTTGGCATAAAAGAAGCAGGGTTGGATTTTAGCGATAGATTGAAATTAGGAGCATATGCTGAGAATAGGTACCACAACCCTATATTAAACATCAACGTGTATTTTTTTTCTTCGGGATGAAAACGAAGTAGTCACAACCAGTTGTTCGCCCAGCCCATCAGTTATAATCTATTATAACACAAATCTAGCGTTCGGAATCACAAGAACCTAGCTGCGATGATCGATTTTCTTCATTGAATTTCTCTTTGCATTACCTACAGCTAAGTGAATTAATTTTCCGATTTTTTTCCAATTCAGTATGGTAAAAGGTTGCATTAGCTAGCAAAAGCAGCCGAGTTATTAGCAAAAGAGAAAATCGATTAAGAGAATCGATCATTGCAGTTAGGCCCTTATAAGTAATTATGAACCTAGACATATTTTAGTTATATTTTATCGAGTGAAATGGAGACGTCTTCTCGTACAGCACAGGACACCCCGTCCTTAGCCTGAATGAAGTAGTACCTAGTAGTAGCATCAAGGCTTCTGTATTCATATTTATATGAATTTCATTACACGTTTAGTAAGAAAATTGCATTACATTAGACTCAAATCACTTTAAGCTTAACCTTGTATCGGGTAGGAGTTCTTCTCATCTAAGAAAATCTTAAATTGTATCCACTCACACAAAAACAACATGGCCAATCTGACCAGTTTTGTTCCTATTCTTTTAGATTTCTGTCAAAATATTTAGGAATCATTTTTTGCTTTGTGATTATGTATATAGGAAAATTACTTTACCTACCAACCTTGCCTAAAATATTAAATGAATAGACTTGTAGCCGGTTCAAACAAATCTTTTGTTTGGAGGTTTAGTATCCAAAGCAAAATCTCCATGTTTCACACTGGATACAATCACTTTTGTACCGGATACCAATGATGACATCACAAACTGTATAATCATGAAACTTTCTGATGAGTCATGTCCGCAATGTTGAATGCGATTGAACTGCGTTGAAGAAAAAAAAAACTATGGTTCATCATCAAATAGCAATAAGAAGTATAAGCTGAAAAGCGCCGCTTTCAATGATGAGGAAAATCGATATCCGGTTACTATAGCGACGCCAAGACAACGGTTATCTGGAACAGTGGATTATTTTTATCACGCGATTACCAGGGAGGAAATAATTTTCTGCAAAAAGGTAAATCGATGTAAACCATTTGTCAGAGTACTTCGCAAAAATCCACCCTCTTATTTTTGAGTAGTTTTAAAATAGCGAGTATGTATTTGTTTTAAATATTAATATTAAATCTGGAATCCTTGTTGTATCAGAATCCGGCACATAAGCAAAATATATTTTCAATCACACTACTAAATAAATTGTCTTACAAATATCAAAGCGCCTAAATATAGACAGTTATTGTCAAAACTTCCTTTATTCCTGCAAAACAATCAATGAATTCTATAAATTGAAGTAACAACGCATGTCACTGACACTGTTGCTTTGAAAGTTTCTTAAACATTTCCTCAGAGTTTCCTGAATAACGAACTATAATTTCTCCAAACTTTTTATTAAATTTACCAGCACCCAACACGAAGTTCCCTTAAAGTCTTCATAGTTCTACAAAAAGTTCCATGAAATTTATCCAAACATCCGAAGCAAGTTCCTTAAAGTTCTTTGATCATCTCTAGATGATTTTCTAATTTTCGTAAATATGTACTAAATTCCTCAGAAAGTTCTTCGAGCAGGGCATTTCAATCCCTCCTACAAACAGTCGTAAGTTGTTTCCCAAACATCTTGTAGGAATCTACCAAACTAATTATTATTAAAATCTGTTCAGAGAAGTTGTTTAACACTTAAGAAATCGGAATGCACTGCTCAATATTTTTGCCAACACAGTTTGCTCGCCAATTATTTTTAGACTAGCTTCCTACAGCTTACTTTTATTTATACTTACTGAATGAAAAAAAAAAATAATTTCCAGAATCTTCAGGAAAATGCAGGTTTTTCGATTTTGTTGTTAGACACTAATAACCTAAGAGAAGTTCAGGCTACTCCAAACAATTTCAAATAAGTTCTGGGAAAATTCAGGAAACTGCCGATAAGTTTAGAATACTTTAGGAAAGCTCAAAGAGCTTCAAACATTTTCAATAAACTTCCGGTGTTTTTACAAATCCACTGCAATTGCCAAAACACCAATTTGAAACCTGAAATAATCCATCAATGCTGATATCTGACCCTTCTTAGTAATAGAAATTTCGGCAAAATGCTGATATGATGTGGTATGCCAGATGAATTCTAAAGTGATCTGATGATGGATTTTGGCCCTAGTCATAAATTGGACATTTCCTCGGGGTACCCGGAACATGGCCGGATGTGGCCAGTGTTGTCCTGGGCACTCTAAATGATTACCATTGACCTGGTTTTTGAAATGTCAGATGATTTGAGGTATCGCATGATGGATTTTGACAATAGTCAGAAACTGACCAGTTCCCCGTACCCGGAACATGTCCGCGTGTGGCCAGTATGGTCTTAGGCACTCCAAATCATTACCATTGAACTGGTTTTTGAATTTTCATGTAATTTGAGGCATCGCATAATGGATTTTGAACCTAGTCAAAAACCGGCCACTTCCCCGGGGGTACTCTAAACATGGCCAGATTTGGCCATTGTAGCCCTGGGCCCTCTAAATGACTAACATTGAACTAGTTCTTGAATTCTCATGAGATTTAAGGTATCGCATGATGGATTTTGACCCTTCCTAGGCACACCAATATATAATATTTTTCTGTGAACCTTCCTGGGCCTTTCTTAAACCTCTTCAGAATTTCCTTAACTTCTACGACGGTTTCCTGAACTGCTTTCATCTATTCAAAGGATTACTGAGTTTCCTTGAAGTT